GCAGATCTTGAATCTGCAGTGATATATACTGTTGCAGATAGTTTTTTTTTTTTTCCACTTTCTTTTTTTAAAGTCCTCTTGTAAGTATATATGTAGTGATTTTTCTTAAGACTTCTTATGTACTGCCACAAGTTAAAATAATGTGTGTTGCTTACAAGGACACCAAAGCAGTGTCTAGAAATGGCTGCATGCTGAAGTTCGAATGTCATCAACCTCTTCATAATAAAACTGTCTTACTGCAGTGGGGAGAAGTAAGACTGTGGTTCTTAGCAATGTGGTTAGACTGTATAATGCCACCAAAAGAAGCCCAGAGTAAATACTGCAAAGAGCTGTGCAAGGTAGAGCAGAGTTGTGTCACGCTGGGGCAGAGCATTGGTCCAAGCCCTTCTCTTCCCAGGAGCAGCTCCACACACATTCCTAAACACAGTAGTCATGGAAGTGATTTGTTTAGCTTCATACTTTGTTCTTTTTGATTTGTAAACCAAAACATCCATTTTATTTTCAGCCATATTTCTACAAAATTACATGGCTCGAATGCCTGCTTACTTGATAGCTTGAAAGCTTACATCCGTCGAGTTTAGCTGTTTAATTTGTGTGCTGCTGGGTGTTATTTGTCAGAATTTGGAGTTCATCTTTGAATGCAGTGCATTATATTCACGTTTTTATTTTACTATCTATCTATATTTTACTTGAGGTGCATCAAAGGTTTCTGACCAAATATGTATTATAAAGTATTTTTTATTGCTTGAAGTATTCTTTCTATTTTCTGGTGGTTCCTACCTGTGCACACTTTTAAAATAAACCAGCTACACTAAATAAAATTTCTTTTATATTTGTGTGTGTGTGTGTGTGCCACTTTGAGATATGGTGTGGACACAGCCTCTTAGATGGCAGAGACTATAAAGAGGAGTTTGCACTTTGGTTTACATTCTGCTTGCTTGCTGCTTTGCCAGCAGAACAATTACAAAATTTCTCCCCCGCCTTTTTTTTTCTTCCCTTGACACTGAAAAGCATAGAAATATGGAGCATGACTGAGACATTATCTCTGCAATATTCAAAAAAACATCTTTTGTTCCTACAGAAATTTAGAGGTCTGTCAGACTTCTGCCAGTCTGAAGAAATCCAGGACATCTTACCCAGAGCTGTTGACAGCATGAAATTTAGGGGTGGCTTTATTTGGTACCTCTCCTCTGAGGTGCCACAGGAGACTTAATACAAGGAGAAGAATTCCCCAAAACACTGGTGTGTTAATGGGAATGATCCTGTGATTAATGAGATTAGTGAATAGCATAGTTGAAAAAGAAATAGTACTTTGATTTTGTTCTATTATAAATGACTCAACATTTAGCCAAGCATTGCAGAAACAGAAGGCTGCCTAATAGGGGATTTATGCCTCGCAGCACGGGGATCTCATACAAACAGATGAAGTCAGCTTCAGCAGCACACAGTGACGTTATATTATGGGCAAATGCATTGTTATTCTGGCAAAAGATGAATGGTTTCAGTGTTATCATCACAGCCTAAGAAAAAGCGAGGCCAGGTTCTTGGGTAGAATAAATCAGTATATACACGTGTTGAAGGTATGAGGGGGAAAAACAGGCAAATGCTTTTAACAGGGGAAAAACTGATTTTAAAAGGAAAAAATTGTGTAAGCTTTTTTCTTTAAAACAAACAAAAAAAACACACAAAAAAGACCCCACATGCAGCTCCTCCCCAAAAAAACCTTCTTTGCTTCTGTTTTAGAAAATCTAATGAGGCCCCTTAAGAACTATGGAATCGCATGGTGAGCATGTTTTAATTTAAATTAAGCTTCTTTACAGATTTACTTGGTATTGTGCTGAAAAGCTTAAGTTTTTGCTATGTTGTTTCAGCATGTCTATGGGTTTCTTGATAGAAGAGACTGCACCAGTTGTGTGGAGAGGGCTCATGGTCATGTCAGCTGTTGAGAAATTGTTGAGACAGGTAAGGACTTAGGTACATATTTGTGTTGAAAACTAATAGGTTCTTTTAAAATGCATTTAACTGATACATGAGTGTCCAGGACATTATTTCATATATTGGTGGTGAGCATTTTTATATCTTGTTCTTCTTAAATTCTTAAGAATTTAATCTTAAATTCAGGTGAAAGGGAAAGTTGACACTTCTATTTACTTATCTCCTTCACAGAGAGCTCTTATTCTATGCATTTGAATGAGTGAGTCACCCCGATTTGCCTTTCTTCTTGTTCCTTTTTATGTTTTCTCATGCAATTGTTAAAAAAAAAGGGGGGGGGGGGTTTGGAGAGCCATTTTGAAGTTACTTGAGGGTTTGAATGTACAGGTATCAGCATATCTACAGCTGTATTCCCTCATGTACTTGTTAGTTCATCAGCACTAAGAATTCTTGGATGATGTTTGACATGTGGCAGGTACATGAAAATCATTAGATATTATCTTTGTGTAATGCAGATAGATTGTTAGTTAATAAATTTCTTAACATATGGAAAAGGAGTGGTTTGGGGTTTTTTTTGTTTGTTTTTTTCTTGACAAACATTTTTTTTCCGCTTTTACTGTGAATAGATCTGGGAAGTGCTAATCAGACAAACAGCTGAAAAAATGCATTAAGGTTGCATGTCTAAACCTTGAAGTGACCCAGATTGTTCACAGCTGACATCCATTCCAGGGATTTAATACATACAGCTTGGAGATCACTAGGTTTCTGTATGTCTTTAGTAAATACCTCCCAATCTTGTGCTCTCTTAATAACTGAAAAGAAGATTTTTAGTGGCTTTTTCTCAGCCTTTTAAGCCTATTTAAAGCCTTTTTAAGGTAACAACTGCCATTACTGTAGTCAGCTGTGTCTGCCACAGTTTCAGGAAGAACATCTTTGTCTGTTTTTGGCCTGTAAAAATAAGGGTTGTCCACGTTGGTGTCTGTGGAAAGCCCTTCTGACCTCTCTGTGTGTTGCGTTGCATCGGCCAGGCTCACAAAGCCTAGAGCCTGCAGCCTCCAGGTAGAGCTTCAGTTAGCACCTGCTGCATTTGCCTACTTTGCCCTCAGAGACTGAAGACTGGCAGACACTCCAGTGCCATTTCTTCTATTGGTAGTATCCCCAGATGGGAAGCACGTGCCAGCATCCTTGTAGAGGTTGTGTATGATGCCATGCAGTGAGCTCGTTGCTCCCTAGCAACAGATGAAGTAGTTATTTGTTTTAAAAACTGCAGTCTTTTTTCTGACATAGTTACTAGTCAGCCTCAAAAGGGGTTACCGGGAGAACTAGTAGTGTTATAGCCTTGGACACCTAAACAAGAGGACTACAGCATGTGATGATGTTTTTAAAGATGCTGTCATTCCATTTTATAATAGAAATAATTTTGTGATCTGTTGAGGGCTTTCAAGTTTTTCATTGTTTTCTCTTAATTTGTTCTGCTTGGTCTTAGCTATTGCCTTTTGTTTGACAGTATAAAGTTCATTGCAAGTGTAAAATACTTCTGCTTGTATATGACATTCTAAAACCATGTTCTGCTTTACCTCTATAGCTACATATAAACCATTTAAATTAGCTCCCTAGTCTAGATTTATAGTGTAATATGTGTAAGGAGCTTGTGTGCATTCAGACAATCTGATAAAATACTAAGTTCTTGAAATAATTGTGTCAGTCAGATAGAAAACAAAGAGGTTTGCAGACTTTGGCATTAGAAACACTAGTGGTATTTTATAATGTTTTTTTATTCTTAGATGATAGAGAGATTTTTGGTTTTAAGAGCATCAAGACTGTGTTCGCTCTGTAAATACCTTTGGACTCTTGGTTTTTTCCATAGAACAAATCTGTTTTCTAGATACATGCTTTAGATAGATTAATAAAGCATTGAAGGGCTTATTTTTCAACTTCATTAGTGGGGACTTGTTAACTCAGTAACTTGTTAGCTCATAATTGGTCTGTGCCTGTAATGAAAATTAAGTACTTCTTACATTTGTAACTTTTTTACATTTCTGGAATTTTTACTTTGGAAAATACATGAAGTAGATACATTGTTAAGTATATACTTCATGTGCTTTCTTATCTATTTACTGCATGTAGCCTCACTCTTGTTAATACATGTGTATTTGTCCTTCTCTGTTTTTGTTGAGCGGATGGCTTTTCAACACACTCCAGAGTACAACCTCCATTGTTTTTTTTTTTCCTCTTCACTTGTACATACATCCTGGGCATACGCAAGTAGGTCACTTTTCAGATAAAACACCACCTTTTACATCCAGACTCTCCTTTTGGCACCTGTCTAGTCTGAGAATCTACCTTGGTTCTCATGTGTTGTATGGCATCAGAGTGGTAACTAACGGGCAGTAATCTTGAAGACCAAAATTAGTGCTTGGGATATGATGTATTCCAGAAAACCATCCTTGCATCTCATCAGTAAGGATGGTTTTCTGGAATACATCATATAATTTTTCTTAAACAGAGTTCAAATGAAATGTGCTTTAGAATACAAAATAGAGTTAACAGTTTACTGTACTACATAGATATATAGTGATGTGTGTGTATCCAGTGAGTATATATATGAACATATGTAGTGCATTGATTCTGTAATGTGTCCTACTTTTTATTAAAAGTATTGTTTAGTAGAAAAGAAGGAAAGTTATGATGGTAATTTATTGAAAGAACAAGAAATATATAGGGAAGCAATTTTTTACCTGTGGTCAAAGTGAATTACAAACAGTAATGGAACACTTGATTCTATATAAATATATTTATAACTCTATCAGTTAAATCTGTCTCTACTTTACATGTCTTGAAATTATCTGAAGTTTTCTTGTGACTGAGAAGTGACTTCTTCATTCACATAATTAGATGTACTGCAGGCCCATTTACACTGCAGGGTGATCTTTTTCTCTGACCTGAGTTTTAACTCTTCCAATTTCCCTGCCAGTTACCTTAGCGTAAAAACTCCTTCCTCTCTGTTGACACTTCTCTGAATATTGCTTGCCTATAGGTGAGATAGAAGAGAGCATTTTTTTGTTTACCTGAGTTTTTTGAAAGATAGTTCTTCTCTCTGAAGATATTGTTAAAGCCCAGGTAAGGAAGTTCTGATAGTTCTCCAGCATCGTCTGTACCACCAGGTTTTTCTATTCAGTTTTTACTTAAGCTTCAGGAGCTGCTTACTCTTCTGTATAGTCCCTTTGATGCTTGTTCCTTTACTCTGTGTCTCGACTCTACTATAATACTTCATTCAGATTCAACAAGCTACCTCAAAATGCATCATCTTGATGTATTTGTTGTGGGAGTGAATTTTGATTAACCTTTAGGCTAAATACAGTAGCAATACCATTTTTTCTGAAAGTTACCTAAAGCCTGTGCTTGAACAGTAAAGTGTCTGAAAAGCTCTGTTCAAAAAGTGTCAGGCTGTCTGTTTTAAACTACTTTTGCAGCTGGGAGTTTAAATGGTCATCTCCACTGTCCCACATGTCTGTATGCGAAATTTTTCTAACACCATCCTCACTTTTGTCTGAGGACATCTTGACAGTCCAGTGACAAAGGAAGGAACAATTAAAAGGGTGTAGGCACAATCCTGAACTGATCCAGAAGCAGCATGACTTGCTGCTGCATGTCTTGGAGTATATTGTGACAATTGTTCTGCCAACAGGTGGAGGGAGAGGAAATGGAACTGTGTTGGTTTCCATTTTAATAGTTGCTGTAGTCATAGCAGCAATATGAATGGAGAGGGGTTTCTTGCTTAGGCAGTCATCAGTAAAACTTCTAATATGAAGGATACTCTACGTGCATTATCAAGTTGAAGTGCCAGCACAGAAGGGAAATAAAAGATCAATATGCAGCAGACAAATCAGCTTTTCTACTTAAAAAAAAAAAAAAGGGTCTACAAGTAAAATACAAACGCATATTTCAGCATGTAGTGTTTTCCTTGTATCTTTGTCATATAAATATATAAAGTTGTATCACTATTAGAAGCAAGTGATACAAGATGGATTACAGATGTCAGCAGTTCTTTTAAATGCAAACAGTCCTCTTGGAACTAGCCCAAAAATCTGCTCTCTTTTCCAAGGATCTCTTTTTGATTAACATCCTTAACAAGATTTCTTACCCTAATGATGTTTGAACCTATGTTTTTGTAGTCAGATTTTAGATGGCAAAACTCAAGTATTTCTTCCTTATCATGATCTTCTAGAGTATCAAGAACATGTTACGCATTGGCAGCATCTTTGGTGTGATATGGCTATAAGGTAGAGCTGCAGCACTGTGAAGTGTATTGTGAGCCTTAAAGGTTCCTTACGTGTACCTGATAAGGGTGAATACATTTTCCCAGGCACACAACAAAGCTTCTCCTGGAATGGCTCAATTCTAACGAGTACCTAAAATATTCTTATTTTCTCATTGGCATTTTTCCATCCCTTGCTGTTTCTTTCAGCATCCCTTCAGTGCCTCTGCTTTATAAAAGCTATGTATTGAAAGTTAAAATAAAACAAACTTTCACTGGGAATGGTTGTAATTGGAAAGGAGTGAAGGCAGGGAAGTTAGGAAAAAGTAGATTATATAAAATGTCCAATGCAGAGCAGTTGCACAAGAGCAAAAGGAAATGGTGCCTTGCACTTTGAAGCAGGGACAGGCTTTACCTCCTGCATATTCACATTGAAAACCATAAATTTGGCAGAATAATGATCAAAACTATTTTGTTACCTTAACCCAAAGCTGAATAGGGGTGTAGTCTGATGATCCATTTTTGTCTATCAAAGAAATCATTGAACTCAGTTTGTGATCATTACAATTGTATGTAAAAAAGTTTGGCTAGAGATGTAGATTTTGTATGCTACTTTCCTTCTGAAGCTGTCCTCTATTAAGAGAACTGCTTCGAAACCAGTACTTGCCAGAGGTAACCATGGTAGTATTTGTATACTAGACTGTGTATCTGTGAATATACGTGTATGCATGCAGATAATTTTTGTATCATAATTCTCTGATGCTTAGTTACC